GTGTGTAAAACATTGTTAATTTTTTTGTTAATCTCAGCCTTTAAATTATTGACAGAATTATATAACCAAGTCAGTATGTTTGCAGGATTAAAAGTATACAAAGAATGAGAGACTGGGAGTATCCTTTAAGATCTATTAGTCCAACCTTGGGACCGGCATATGATATAATGGTTACATCACTGGATTCCCACATGGCCTACCATGGTTCGAGTCCTAGACCCACTGACTTAAAACTCATGCCAGGTGCCTGGCATTTAGAACTTATTACGTAAGCAAACCATTGTAATGATCCATTCAGCAGCTTCACATTGTATAATGAAGGTTCTAAGAGGGCTAGAATGCTAGCCAAGGTCAAGTTAGTGTAGTGGAACAATCTTGGGATGAGAAGGGAGGGTACTTAAGACTAGGCCTAATACTGTACTAGGGGTTTTAGACAGATTTAACCTCCACTTCCTCAGTAGCAGAGTGAAGGTAATCGTACATGCCCTGCCTCTACTTCATGGCATAGTTATAATGTACAAAAGGTGGGATGGATCCAAAGGTATGTACTTTAAAGTGCAAGGAATAATTCACAAAGGCCAATGTTGTCCTTGTTTGGCAGAATAAAAGGTCGTTTTCACTGGTGGTTTTGTCATCTTTTGGAGTCAGTCCTTTTTTTAGAATTCAATTTCCTGTCTTGGGTCATTGTCTCTCTCAATGGTAACTAAGGAAGAGAGCAGTTAAGCTCAATTACATATTATTGCTATAATAGTAGTAATTGACGTCATGTGGGTCATTATACTTTCATTTCCCTTTAAGTCTGTTTTGTGTTATTTATAGCATCCTATGCATGTAAATACCAAAAGCAAACCAAGGAATTTGTGACCCTCCAGCATCATCCCAGACCCTGTTCCATTCCCTTTTCCACAGAATTGCTGAGATTATTTAGTGTATGTTACAGAAACAATGTCTTGCTGTATGTTTGAAATTTTAAAAAAATTAAAAATAAATTACCAAGGAAGAACAATTTTTAATTAGAATAAAATGCTACTCTCTGGGGAAACCTGAAATTAAGGTTTATGGTGGTGATGTCCTTTTAGGACTTAGATGAAGTGCACTCTGGTAGTAGAGAAGATATCCAGGGACAAGCAGTTAGAATACCCTACTAGCATAACAGCTGCCTGCTTGCACCCAGCAGCCCAAGCAGATATTACTGATGTATCACTTGGCTGCCAGCTTAGCTGTTAAGAAGGACATTCATTTGGGTAGAATGATGAACCTGGTCATCTGTAGGCAAAGACCTATGTGTCTATTGAGCACCTACTACATACTATGTATTTTGGTATAGTGTGTGTGTGTGTGTAAGTATATAATATTTAGTGTGTGTGTGTGTGTGTGTGTGTGTGTGTATATATAAATTTTAGAATGTATCTTACAAACAACAGATTTCTATTTACACCTACATTTGTAAGTAAATCACACTAATAATTTTAAAAGTAAGTGAAAACTTATAGTGCATTTTATAGGTGTTGCTTTTTTATTCATTTGTTTTGTTTTGTTTTGTTTTGATAAACCTTAAGACAGTTTTAGGACCAGCAGATGGCATAGTGGTTATGTTGCTGGACTCTCACATAGTCAACTGCAGTGTATGTCCTAGACATAGCAACTTAAAACTCATGCCAGGCACATGTGCGTGCTGCTCAAACTCCTGAAAGGCAAATGGAGGAAAAGGGATTGCCGCATGGCCATCTCTGCTTGGGGATGATTTCTCACTTTCTGTCTCTCTGTCTCTATCTCTCTGGCAAGCACATGTTGCCTTATTGCAAAAATCTCTCTAAAAGAAAAGAAAAAACTTAAAACACTTTTATTAGAAAGATATGTATCTCTGAAGGATTCCAACCTTCTGTTCTGGGTATTAAAATCTAAAAGAATTGGAATTGCCTTTGCAGGGACCATTAGATGGCATAATGGTTACAATGCTGCACTGGCGCATGATCAACTGTCACTTGAGTCCCAGACTCAACTGGCTTAAACTCACACTGGGGGTGTGTGTGCATATGCCCAGGGTCCCTAGGGGGGAGCATGGAGGAGAAGAGATTGCAGTGTGGCCATCTCCCCTGGGGGGTGATTTCTTGCTTTTTGTCTGTCCTTCCAGTGGAGTGCATGTACCCTATAGCAAAAATCTCTCTCAGAAAAAAATAAATAAGAAATTGCCTTTGCCATTGAAGGACTTTTTTGTTGTTGTTTTCGAGATTTTGTGTTACCATATTTATCTGTGATTGGTGAACTGGTTTATGACTATGGGTAGTAGAAAGGTCCGGATATATAATGACTATAGAAAATTTGTATTATTTCTTAAAACTTTTTTAAAGAATAAGAAGGACTTCAGAAGAAATATAAGAAAGATAAACTTTGCTTCTCAAGCCAAGATAGTAGTATAAATATGTCAGTACTTTCCAAAATGATAAATAAATTTGGTGATATTCCAATTAAAATCCAACCAAGATTTTCATAATGACCTTAACAAGCTGATACTAGAACTCATTGGAAGAAAGCAATAACCAGGAGATTTAAGAAAAGAGCAGTTAGAGCAAGATGGAAAGTCATAAAGGAAAAGGAATTGAAGAGAGTAGTGTTGGGAACCAGCAGTTAGCGTAATGGCTATGTCGCTGGACTCCCACGTAGTCAACCGCGGTTCGTGTCCCGGACCCGGTGGCTTAAAACTCACGCCGGGCGCGTGTGCGTGCGTGCCCAAGATCCCAAGAGGAGAATGGAGGAGAAGGGATTGCGGCGTGACCATCCCCCCTGGGGGGTGATTTCTTGCTTTCTGTCTCTATGTCTCTGTCTGTCTGGCGAGCACATGTGCCCTACAGTGAAAATCTCTCCAAAAAAAAAAAAGAGAGTAGTATTAGCACATGTTACGTGGAATTTACTGTATGTATAGATCCCATTTCAAGTCCAGGGAGCATAAACTATTAAAGTGATAATGTTGGAATTCTTATTTCCATTCATTAGATTTCTATTTCACTATACAAACAAAAATAAAACCAAAACACTAAATGATTTAAAAGGCTAAATATAAACTATAAACTAAACATAAACTATAAAATTAACATTTAAGAATTCTTTTCTTTACAACCCCTGAAATAAGTAATGTATGAAATCCTGTAATTGTATAGAAAGTGACAGATTTGACCACATGAAAATTAAAGTGTTACAGGACCAAAAAACAAAGGTAAAACAAAGTTGGCAAACACTAGATTGGGTGGAAGTATTTACTATGTAGATAAAAGTCAGAGTGAATACTCAGATTATATATATGCTTACAGATTTTTAAGAAAATGACAAATTATTTAGAAGGAAAATGGTAAAAGGATTTGAACAAGATAAATGGCAAGTGAATACGTTTTCTGGCCTCTAATAATTTGGGGAATGCTAATCAAAACAATAAAATTTTTTAATCTATCAGATATATAAAAATTAAAAAGTTTGTGAATATTTGTTGCCAGAGATATGTTGACAAGTTAGCATGCATATAAATCAGTACATTATCTTGTTTTTTTTTTTTTAATCTCAGCTTGGTAGCATAAACACACTTCAAACCAGAGGTTTCATTTCTAAGCTTCTATCCTAATTTAAAGCAAATAAATACAAAACAAAACAACTGGAGGGTACTGGATTACTTCAAATTTTTGTTTAAAAAGTCCATGCCATTTTAAAAAGACAGCAACTGTTTTTACTTGTGTAAAATATATAGAAGGGTGCACAGCAAGCATTGGAAGTATTACCTTGTGTGTGGGAGTGTGCCTTACATTTATGTATACTGATATACTGAGGTGTTTTTTCAGCGTGCATGTTATCATTTGTTTAAGAGAGAGTTTTCCTATAGGGCATGTGTGCTCCCCAGAGAGACAGAGAAGAGAGGCGGAAAGCGAGAAATCACCCCCCAAGAGGGATGGCCACACTGCAGTCCCCTCTCCTCCATTCTTCTCTCAGGATTTTGGGCACACATGCACATGCACCTGGCATGAGTTTCAAGCTGCCAGGTCCAGGACTTGAACCATGATCAACTATGTGGGAGTCCAGTGATATAACCATTATGCCATCTGCTGGCCCCACACATTATCATTTTTATACCTTAAAAGAGTAAGAGCAGGGGGGAACCAGCAGTTAGCGTAATGGCTATGTCGCTGGACTCCCACGTAGTCAACCGCGGTTCGTGTCCCGGACCCGGTGGCTTAAAACTCACGCCGGGCGCGTGTGCGTGCGTGCCCAAGATCCCAAGAGGAGAATGGAGGAGAAGGGATTGCGGCGTGACCATCCCTCCTGGGGGATGATTTCTCGCTTTCTGTCTCTATGTCTCTCTCTGTCTGGTGAGCGCACGCGCCCTAAAGTGAAAACCTCTCAAAAAAAAAAAAAAAAAGTAAGAGCAGGGCCAGCCTTACAGCCTCATAGTAATAAGGGAGCCACATCCCACATGGCTGACAGTGGTTTGAATTCTGGCCCCAACAGCTTGAAAAACATGCCACCTGAGAGTGTGTGTACCCAAAATCCCAATAGGAAGGAGAAATAGAGGGAGGGTTGTGTAGTATGATCACTCTCATTGGAGGGTGCTTTCTCTCTCTCCCTCTTTATCTCTCTTTCTCTGATGAGCACCCATACCTCTAGCAATTAAAAAATAAAAAAAAGATTAGCAGCAAAGGGCCATCTTTTGTTATTGAGCTTTTCCCCCTTATTATAGGACCTTTTCTGTTTCTCAACACATGAAGGCATGTAGGTGTTAGCAAATCATCTCAAATAACCAGGGGTTCAGTTCACATCTTGCCCTTCTGTCTTTAATGGAGCAGCCTCCTTGAAGACAGCCAGCTGAGAGTCCTCCATCGTCCTGCAGCAGAGCTTGGGGCACCTGGGCAGGGATGGGGAAAGACCTGCTCCCCTCGCTGACAGGCCTAGGCTTTTAGTAACCAGTTCTGGGGGAATGCCTTCCTACATTCACTAATGTGGATGTCTCATCCACCTAGGATGTTTACAAGCCTCGTCGGAAATACAAACGCCAAGAGGGAGCAGAGGAGCTGCTTGATGAAGAATCTCGAATCCATGCTACACTGTTGGAATATGGCAGGTAATGAGTGGGACCTGAGCTAGATGTCTGTTTTATAAGACCACTTAAAAGAAAGGCTAATTTACATCGCTACTTTTCGATTAACTTGATTGAATTGTACATAGTAGAGTTCACTGTTTTCAGCCATGGGATTTCCAACATGAAGAACTTGCAGCTCTGGTACTGAATGACCTAACTTTCTGTGGAAATGTGCCCAGAGGTGTGCACCCTGGCTCTGCCCTCCCCTGGGAGTAGGGGCGTTTGGGACATTTGCCCCTGCATGCCCCTGGGGGTGGGCCTCCCTTCAAGCCTCTGCCACTTGTTAAAACCTTTAGGTAAAGGAAAGAAATGAAAGCAGTTTTATTCCAAGTGCTAAGAGTAATAAGCTTAAAACTCACATCGGGCGCATGTGCGTGCATGCCCAAGATCCCGAGAGGAGAATGGAGGAGAAGGGATTGCGGCATGGCCATCCCCCCTGGAGGGTGATTTCTTGCTTTCTGTCTCTGTCTCTCTCTGTCTGTCTGGTGAGCGCACACGCCCTAAAGTGAAAACCTCTCAAAAAAAAAAAAAAAAAGTAAGAGCAGGGCCAGCCTTACAGCCTCATAGTAATAAGGGAGCCACATCCCACATGGCTGACAGTGGTTTGAATTCTGGCCCCAACAGCTTGAAAAACATGCCACCTGAGAGTGTGTGTACCCAAAATCCCAATAGGAAGGAGAAATAGAGGGAGGGTTGTGTAGTATGATCACTCTCATTGGAGGGTGCTTTCTCTCTCTCCCTCTTTATCTCTCTTTCTCTGATGAGCACCCATACCTCTAGCAATTAAAAAATAAAAAAAAGATTAGCAGCAAAGGGCCATCTTTTGTTATTGAGCTTTTCCCCCTTATTATAGGACCTTTTCTGTTTCTCAACACATGAAGGCATGTAGGTGTTAGCAAATCATCTCAAATAACCAGGGGTTCAGTTCACATCTTGCCCTTCTGTCTTTAATGGAGCAGCCTCCTTGAAGACAGCCAGCTGAGAGTCCTCCATCGTCCTGCAGCAGAGCTTGGGGCACCTGGGCAGGGATGGGGAAAGACCTGCTCCCCTCGCTGACAGGCCTAGGCTTTTAGTAACCAGTTCTGGGGGAATGCCTTCCTACATTCACTAATGTGGATGTCTCATCCACCTAGGATGTTTACAAGCCTCGTCGGAAATACAAACGCCAAGAGGGAGCAGAGGAGCTGCTTGATGAAGAATCTCGAATCCATGCTACACTGTTGGAATATGGCAGGTAATGAGTGGGACCTGAGCTAGATGTCTGTTTTATAAGACCACTTAAAAGAAAGGCTAATTTACATCGCTACTTTTCGATTAACTTGATTGAATTGTACATAGTAGAGTTCACTGTTTTCAGCCATGGGATTTCCAACATGAAGAACTTGCAGCTCTGGTACTGAATGACCTAACTTTCTGTGGAAATGTGCCCAGAGGTGTGCACCCTGGCTCTGCCCTCCCCTGGGAGTAGGGGCGTTTGGGACATTTGCCCCTGCATGCCCCTGGGGGTGGGCCTCCCTTCAAGCCTCTGCCACTTGTTAAAACCTTTAGGTAAAGGAAAGAAATGAAAGCAGTTTTATTCCAAGTGCTAAGAGTAATAATTTTGATATCCCGTGAAGGTTATTCTGACTTAAAAATGAAAAATTTAGTAGTAGTTTCATCATTTCTTAAAAATATCTCTAGTTCTTAAAAAAATAATTCTTTTTACCAAGGAAAAAAAAATTACAGGGACGTGCTTCTCTTGTTTTAATATTTGGATGACACAGGGTATTAACCTTCATTTATGTCCTATGTTCTCTACTTAGGGTAATTGACACCTTGATGTGAGTATATGTGCCTCCTTCCTTTGTGTGCTGCTGTGGCTCCCACCCCAGCCCTTGCTGGGTGTCTGAAACTAACTGCACTGTCACTAGCATCTCCCTGAGTGAACATCTGATGGTCTTCCCTTCTTCTTGGGGAGAACCCAGAGGAAATTAGGCTTTATTATGTTAGCTTTGCAGGAAAGGCATTCTGTTTTTGTCTGTTTTTATAAGCAATAGACGAGGTCAGGTCTTTCTGTCCTAAGAATAAAATCTAGTCTCTTTGAAAGGAAGTTGAGTTAGTTCTGGCCCTAAGCCAGGTAGGATAGCTGTCCCACAGCTCAATGCCTCGGGACCAGCAGCAGTTAGTGTAATGGCTATGTTGCAGAACTCCCATGTAGTTGAACACGGTTCAAGTCTCGGACCCGGTGGCTTAAACTCATGCCAGGCGCGTGTGCATGTGTGCCCAAGATCCCAAGAGGAGAATGGAGGAGAAGGGATTGCGGCATGGCCATCCCCCCGGGGGATGATTTCTCACTTTCTGTCTCTCTGGTGAGCACACATGCCCTATAGCTAAATAAATATAATAATAATTGAATGCCTCCTCTGAGTTAGGTACCACCAGGGCCAGTCATGAAATTTGCAGAGCCCAGTATAAAAAAATGCAAGACCCCTTGTTAAGAATTATTAATGATGATTGATTATTAAGAATTTCAAAACAGCACAACACGTGGGACCCTTTTGAGCAAGGATCCTTGTGGGACTAGATGGGGACATGCTCACAGAGCTAGCCTTGGGCACCACCATGAGAAATTTCTCCAGCCACCTGTCTACAGCTGGAAAGGTGAGCTTACACAGCTCAGGGAGAGCCAAAGCCAGAGCAACAGTTTCTGTGGGTATGACATGTCCCAGAGCCAAGGAGTACTTAAAGGAATGTAGTGAGCTTTGTGAATTTGTGTTGTTCATATCTCCAGTGAAGGTTTTATGTTTTTATTTTTAGATTGACTGACTGACTGACTTTACCTTTTCAGACAGGGTGAGGGTAGGTTTGTATGAGCTGAGGTAGTGGATAGTTTATTTAGTTCATTCTACTCTGAAAATAATAATGACAGCATTCAGAAAGGTTAGAAAATAACTTAGCTGGCCCATCCAGGAGAGCTTATGCTGAATGATGCTGCTTGGTAGGCTGAGGTCACATGGGAGGCCTGGGTTTTATTCTTGACCTACCCTAAAAGAAAAATCAGGTACAGTAGTGAGTGTCTGTAGTCTCAGCTACACCACACTTGCACACACACACAAACTGTTATTATTAAATAAATAAACAATTATTTATTTAATTTTTTGCCAGAGGACCATGTGCTCACCAGAGAAAAACTTGTACTTTAATTTCATGAAGTCCCTGCATGTGACAATATTGTCCATTCCTCCCCTAGTCAGGCAGCAGCTGGCACAGGCTGGCCCTGGGGCTCACTCTGTGTGGCATGCCTGCATTCCTCATCCACACCTCCATGGCACCATGGCTTTAGGAAGCCAAATCCCCATCCGTTGCCAGTGTTTCTGTTTTCCACCTCATCTCACCTCTTTACAAGTAGGAAAAGTATTTTTGACTCCCAGAGCAAAAAGATCTGAAAACAGGGTTTCTTCTTTGAGATAAAAGATCTTTCACCAGTCTTAGGCCCACACCCTGTCTTTGAGGAGGTCAGTATTGTAGTTGCTTCTCCTGTGTGTGTGCGTGTGTTTTGCTTTTTTTTTTTTTTTTCTTTCAGTTGTTCAAATAAAGCTGGACTTTGAGCCTGGTCAACCATGTTTAAGACCTTAAGGACTGTGTATCTGTTTGGGTATATTTTACTAAATATTATGGTGTTAGAAAAGCAAAACTCGGTTTTGATTTTGGACTTAAACAAAATTTGCAACCTTTTACTATTTCAATTTTATTATGGTTTCAATAGAATATTAGAGGTTAACTTAAAACCTAAACATCTACAAAACTTCGGTAATGGACAGATGCACTTTATGTGCTATATATTTGACTTGCAAGTGGAATTTTGGGACACAACCACTAGAATGCCGAAGTTAACCTGTCCTGCCATGTTGGAGGCTCAGGTGAATTTCTCTGAAGTTATTCTACATTTGTAAATGAAATACGGCTGTATTTCCCAACGTTTTTGTCTCCATTATGAAGGTAGAGCCTGGGATGTGCTCATAGAAGGTACCTGGTTAATTTCTGCTGAATGAATGGAGAGCAGAGTTGGCAGTCCTTATTATTTAGGACTTTCTACATTCCTGTTTTGTTCTGGATTCCAGATATTTGTCTTAGTTTGTCCTGGATGGATGATTTGTCCGGGATGGATATTCTTGAACATTAGTTTGTTTTCTGGAACTGCTATGTCTAGTGTGATGTACTGCCACTGGCCACATATGGCTACTGAGCAATTGAAGTGTGACTGCTGTGGCTCAGGAACAGAATTTTAATTTTAATTAAATATAAGTGTAAAAATTCATGGTTGATTTAGTTATTGGAGAACGTTCCAGTATGTTTAGAATAACTTGGGTATATGAGTCTACCAGTTTGAGAATTACACATTGTTATATTTCTTTTAGACTGTGCAGCCCTGACTTGGAGACAAAGCCCTAGGTCTAGGGTATGAGGACGTGAACTGGGTGATAGAGGACTGGAGTTCTGTTGGTATGGGCAGGGTAGGACAGCAACAAGGTGAAGAATCAAAGCTAAAGAAAGGAAAGCAGGACAAACAGAAGCATGGGGCACTGCAAACCAGAACTGGTGTTTGGGAAAACCCGGCAAGGCTGACAGGCAAGGGAGATTGACAGGGCGGCATGACTGGGACATATAAAAGGGCAGTAAATGCAGCTGCAGTAGAAATAAGTCAAAGCAGGGCCAGCGGGTGTTGTGGTGGTTAAGGGCGCTGGATTCCCCCATGGCCAACCACACACAGATCAAGTCCCAGATCTGGTGGCTTGTTTTTTCACTTTCCCTCTATCTCTCACACACTCTGTCCTCTGTGGTCAAGTTAAAATAAGTAAATAAAGTTAAATAAAATAGTTCTTTTTAAAAAAAGAAAAGAAATAAGTGTAAGTATCCACCTGGTCTTTGTTAGGGGTGATAGGTATAAAGGGATATTGTGGTTGCCTGGTGAAGATTGGACAACAAGGAGGAGTCTCAGACATGGGGACCAGTGAACACAAAGAGACAGGTTTGAATATGCAGCTCAGGGTAGTGCTTCTTTATCAGGGAAGCATTGTGGCCATGTCACATGGAGAAGGGGGACCTTGAGGGAAATCAGCTGGATTCTTCCATCAGCAAACATTATTAAGTGCCTGCTGTGTGCCTGGCACTGAACTAGGCAGTGAAGAGAAAGTGAATGAAGTTGTATGAATGTTTATGTCAGCACTAGTAGGGGGAAAAAAAGTGGAAGCAATCCAAGTGACTATCAGCTGATGAAACGAAATGTGACTTGTGCATGCAATGGCTTATTGCTTAGTTGTAGAAAGGGCTGAAGTACCAGTTCATGCTACAGCATGGATGAACCTTGAAAATATGCTAAAGGAAAGAACACAGGGCACAAAAGTTTCTTTTTGAGGTGATGCACCTGTTCTGGATTTAGATAGTGGTGGTTATATAACATATTGAGTACACACAATGACAAGTGAAGTGTATCCTTTAAAGTGGTGGTGTGCCAGCCAGTGGTGCGGTGCTTCAGGTGACTGGATCCCACAGGACTGACTGCATGGATCAGGTCTGGACTTGGTGGCTTGAAAAATATGCTGGTCATGTTTTTGGGCCCAAAATCTCAAAAGGAGAATGGAAGAGAAGAGATTACAGCATGTTCATCCCCTCCCTTCCCAGGGGAGTGGGTACTTTCTCACTTCTCTCACTCTCTCTCTCTGGTGAATGCATGCATCCTATAGCTTTTGTTTTTAGATGGTGAATTTTATATTATATGAGCTACATTCCAATTTTAAAGGTTTTTTTTTTTTTTACCAAGTAAATGAAGCAAATTTTCTCCCCTTGAGGAACTCAGCAAACAAGCTTAGAGAGTTATACATGATGGCTAATTATTATACACCATATGGTGAGTGCACTGGTAATATGCCCACAGAAGTATAAATCTGAGAGGCTAGCCTAGTTTTGAAGACAAAAAAGTTCCCCAAGCCTTAAGGAGGAGTAGATGAGACCTGAGGATTGAGTCATTCAGACTCAGTTGCTTACTGTTTTATTTGCAAAAATTCATGAAGTCCTTAGGTATTGGATGTGGGCCATCTGCCTTAGGATGTGTCTTCTACTTTAGACTGAAAGTCTGGAAAAAGAGAGCATACTCAAGATACAAGGACTTTTTTATTTTTTAATTTGCTATAGGGCACATGTGCTCACTGGAGAGGTAGGGGAAGGAGAGTTAAGAAAGCAACCCCCTAAGGGGATGGCTACACCACAGTTGCATCTCCATTCTCCTTTAGGGATTTTGGACATGCATGTGTACATGCCCAGGGTGTCCTTCAAGCCACCAGCCAGGTCCAAGACTTGAACCACACAGTCAGCCATGTGAGATCCAGCCACCCTAACTACCATGCCACCTCGCTTTCCCTGCAAGGACATTTCTAGGAGTGGGAAACTGATGAAAGCCTGTATTTATCAGGGTTCCCTGGTTCTCTCTAGTTGTGGCAGGAGGCTGATTACAGAGATTGATGGGAACTAGGCTGAGCCAGGCTTGGCTCACAAGGTTCACATTAGAGCTGGAGCTCTAAGGATGCTACTTTCAGAGGCCTCCTGAATCAGGAAGCTAACTAGCAAGCAGCCTGTGGAATTGGGAAGTTGGTGCTATAGCTGCTGACAAAGGAAATACGTCCCTCATTTCAAAATCAGGAAGCGCTCTCTGCAAAACCAGGAAGTCACTATGATAGCAGCTGGCCCCAGAACCAGGTTGCTTCTATGCTTCACACTGGCAGAGTGGATCCTTTATGACCACCCCTCTCCTTATTTACCTGTTCCTCATTACTAGCTCCAGCAAATGCATCTCATTGGCGGGACCTAAATAGCACTCAGAACCTTAGGTCCAGGTGAGAGTAGAAAATAGTTTTGTTTCCAGTATGCAGCATGCGATAGATGGTGTTTACGCCAGTTTGAAGAATCTGCCATGAGGCTCTGTGGAATTTGAGTGGATAATCAAAAGTTAACCTTAGTCTGCTGCACTTTGGGCCTATAGATTTATGCCCAAAGCATGAGTGCACTGTGCCCAGCAGTGACTTTTTGGTCTCTGATTATTTGACAGCCTGTTGCAAGGTCAGATGATACTTTTGGCTTCTTGATTTCTTCATTTTTTGCTCTTTTAATTCATTCAGCAGCCACTAGAATTACAAGATGTGAAAGTGGAACCATTGCCCTCAAGGAGAAGGGTACAGGCACGCAATCAGGTGGCTGGACTTAATGGTCTGGGAAGTAAGAGCATGTACAGAGGTGGGGATGTGTAGGCCAGGCTGAGCGCATGTGGAGAGGACTGCTTTGGAAGGGAAGAGAGGCTTTAATGCTGAATGGGGAGGAATAAAGGGGGAAGATAAAATAGCTGTGTGTGCAGAGCTCCCTGTTGAGGCAGTAGATGGAACAAGAGCATATATAGTGAGGCTGACCAGTGGTTAGTCAGAGCCAGAAGAGAGGGCCTGTTTTCTCCTGAGAAAGAGAAAAAGGCCTGTTCTGATAAATGCAGAGCAGATCAGTGTGAAATTAGATTTAAAAAATGGACAGGAGAGTGGGAGGGAAGTGAGTCTAGAGGCCCCAGGCAGCGGAGGCCAGGATATTGACCCACCAAGTAAGGCGTGGTGTGAGCCAGGCAGAGTGAAGCCTTTGATTTGTTTTTCTTGAATAGTTGCATGTAACTTTATTTCTTTACAAATTATTTAAAGATATGTGAGGCTAAGTGCTGTGCATTGTTTCTGTTCTAGATTGAATGGTTTTTGCATTGTTATACTTGCTATATTTTTAGAAAAGCATAGATTAATTAGAACCAGAAAATAAACTAATTTTAACTGAAGTGAGTTTGTGTGTTCTTTGAATTTAAGGATGTGTGAAGTGAATTCATAATGTTACTGACATGTGCTTCAGTTATGTTTGAGAATGAAAAATGTCCTAAACTGTAAGCTATTAAAGTAGCTATTACATTAGAGAGCACGCTTGGCTTGAGCAAACACATTTGCATTTGTTTGTACAGATATTTTTACAGCCTTTAGCTTAAACCGTGGCTCTGAAATGCAGTTCCCGATTCAGAGTAATGAGTGCACTTAGGGAAAACGTTGCACTCTATACCATCTGAAAGTTTCTATGTATAGTACTTATATAGTAAATAGGATGGCTGGCACTTTATTCGAAAAACAGTGGAAAATGTTTATGTTTCTGGCACCTGGACATTTTTCTCCAGTCACTAAATAGCCTAAATTCTTGGTGCTTTTCATATAAAAACCCAACCAAAATACATTTGATCGAATTTGTTGTGTTTTTTTCTTTTTTTTGTATAATAATTGAACTCCTTATTTTGTGACTTAACAGGAGATATGGATTTAGCCGCCAGAGCAAAACAGAGAAGGTAAGAAAAGCACATATAATGGGAGAGAATATTTGAGAAATGGAAGCAAACCCCCCTTTCCATCTCTCTGACACTGACAGGCTGGCACAGCTTCCTGGGGAGCCTGGGAGGGGTGGCATGTCAGGGCTGCAGTGTACAGCTCTGGTTAGTGAGCAAGATGGGGCAGCAGGGATATACCAGCTGCGTTTGGCCCCGGCATCTTCTCTTGGCATTTCCAGGCTGCGCCTCTGTCGTCAGGAAGCCAAAGTAGAAGTTTCCTTCCAGGGTGCAAGTAAAGAATGGTTGAATGTTGTGGCCCTAGGATCAAATCAGCGGCGTCTGTTGGCTCTAGAAGTGTGAGGATGAAGTCCTTTTCCTAGGCTCCTAGAGCACTCCTCATCCAAAGAGAGAAACTCTAGACAAGTATAGAAAGGAGGCTAGCTGTGAGATAGAACACAATCCATCCTCTATGAAGACAACTGTGTGTGTAAGAACCAGGGAAGTCAGGATAGGGTTTTCTCACTTCACAAAGGAGTCTCTAGGATTTCTGTAAATCTGTATACTCACTGATGATCCCTGATTGTCAGTAGCAGGACAGGCATCTCAGTCTTACACTGCCCAACTCTTACTACATTCCAGACCTTTTGTTAAGGACTGTACATGTTTGTTTGTTTGTTTTTAACTTAGTCCCTGAACAACTCTGAGGAGGATACTTACTCCTGTTTTTCAGGTTAGAAAGCTAATACTCGTAGAGGCTGAGTGATTTGTTCAATATCACACAGCCTTAAAGTGCCAGTAATAAGAATCGAAGCCCTGGTTTGTCTAACATTAAAACCTGTACTCACAATCTCTGCCTTCTGAATAAGTAAGTGCCATCTAAAGTGGTTACTGGATTTCTAAAAGGCAATCCTGAAGCTTGAGATCTGCTAATGATCTCTTTTCATTCCTCACCAAACGCTCGAATTTTTTTGAATTGGACACACTCCTGTTCTCCATTCCCCCATGCTTCCAGTGATGGGTGTTATCTCTGCCACCGGAGAGGGCACCCACAGTGACCCAAAGCCCATGTCTTGACTGGCTGGTTCCAGATCCCAACCCCTTTCCTTTACTGTGTGACTTCGAATAATTTACCAAATCATTGACCCTAATTTACAGCCTCTGTAAAACAAAGGCAGCCATTGTGCCTACCTCACAGCTTTGCTGTGATGGTTAAAGAAAGATCCAACACAGTAAACATTTTTTTGTTGTTTTAATTTTTTTTCTTTCTCTTTCTTTTATACATTCAATCATGCTACCCAGCTTACAAACCGAATATTCCAATATGTTTGCATTTCTCCCCAAACCAGTCTACCATACTAGAAAGTTATCTTCCTCTACTCCTTCATCCACCCTCTTCCCACAGTGTATCTAGTATTCACAACCATTTACTTAGTTTCTATAGCCTTCCTTTATTCAGTTTCGGCCATAGAGTGCAGACACTGGTATATATTAAGTGGAGACATAGTAAACATTTTCTAAGCGCTGTTACCATTACCCATAGTATCATCATTAGTTTATTGGCAATTAGTCATGTACCAACTTTGATACCTTGTTTTTTAATTTTCTCTTTATTCATTTTGCTTATTTATTGTTTGCATTTTAACTCAACTAAATACTCATTTCCTACAGAGCAGACTGTTCTCTGGATTTGAGTATGTCCTCTGTTATCTGGTCTATAATAAGGGTTTGATGTGCACTTTTAATGTGACATATAACTGAAATCTGAGAAATACATCTGTATGTGACTGTTCTGAAATGAGACGGTTTGGTTATGCCTAGAACAATCATGACATGTCCATGAAATATTCAGCTGGTCATGTCTCATCATTTTTAGGTTAGGTGGCACACACCTATTGACAGTCTTGTTCCTGTCAATGTGTCCAAGCAGTAAGCAGCTCGGGATGTCCCTGTGGGCAATGGCAGACTTGCTACTAGAGGGAATAAACTTGTTATTCTAGAGTTGGGGTGGTCTGAGGGAGTCTGAGACCAAGCCTTGATTTCAACCCTGGGAAGTCCTTGCTAGACAAAGATCAGTGGTAAGTCTGAGGGTACCCAGGGGAATGACAGAGATAGGATTAAAACTGAGAGTTCTAAATGAGCACATGTTGGAGGAAGAACAGTTAATCCAGGGTGTCTTGAGTGTGGTGTGGTACATTAGAGCCTAAGAATGGGTCCAGAGCATGCAGGAATTAAGTGTTTATGCTTGAGACCAATGATTTCCAAACTTTTTGTTCACTCTCAGTAGTAAAAATTCTGTTTTTTAACATCATGTAGTACATATCACACATGCATACACCCAAAAAACACATTTCATTAAGTGATCCTTCACTCTTTACTGCTATCAGTACTTTGAAAGATTCTACTGTGTTTTTACTTGATTTATATAGAAGTTACTCCTACCTGCTGAATTAACTCTCATTTCTCACTACTGGTTCTCAACTGGCACTTTGCAAAAACACTCCATTAGCAGTGACCTACTCTCAAAGGTCCTGAGGTAGGGAGAGAACCCAGACAAAGTGTTAGGCTATGTCTTACAAATGTGTGTTGCCTGATCTTATTTTAATGAACCAGCTATTTAGAGATGGAGACATTTCAGACCAGGCTCTGAAACATGGCAGGGCCCCAAGGCCTGACCCGTCTACCGTGTAGCTCGAGTGAGGGCCTAGGTTTTGGGGGCTTGTTCTCTCTCAGGGACTGGCTCAACTCTCCAGACCTATGTATTTTCTTTCACACCCATCCTCTTTGCAGTGTTGTCTGTTCTCTGCTGTATCTCTAACTGCAGTACCCACCTGTTCCCACATCTTCCCTTCTAGACTGAGGACAAGAAAACAATACTTCCTACAGCAGCAGAAAAAGCTGATGCCCACGATGAAGATGAGATTCAAGCAGCTGAAGAGGTGTGTGTTCTCTGTAGACCCTCTGAGGTTTCTGTTTAAGTTATTTGGGAGAAATTTTACTCTCGTTCCCAGCTTTCCAAATGGCCAACTGCCTCTCACAGCCAGCTGCTGTGGATCAGCCTTTCACACCTGCCAGTTTCCTCTGATCATCTGTCACAACAACTATGAAATGAGATCAGGGAAAATAGCCCTTGGATTTCACTGCATGACCCTGTGGAGGAGACTGCTTCAGTCTTACGTGGTCAAAACCACTCACTGCTGCTCCTTCCTATTCCTCTTTCAGCAGCGTATTCAGTCACTGATGACCAAGATGACTGCCATGGCCAGTGAGGAGGTAAGGAGGAGGGGGTATGGTGTTTGTGACAATGGTGATTTGACCCCACCTTGCTCCGCTCTGGTTGGCCCTACCCCCAGAGGGACCACCACCTCCAGAGCCCTCTTGTCTCAGCTTCCAATGCCTGCTGTTCTTCAGGGCGTTGTTTTTGTTATTGCTTTTTTGGAGGGGTGTGTGGGGATGAGGGGGTGGGACTTCTTAAAAGTGCATACTATTTCCATACATGGGGACTTGTTGGAGGGAGGCTTAAAGACCTGAAGGACCTTTGTAAGAGCAGGATATCCCTGCTGGAAGGGTTCACAGGGCCTCTGCAGAGCTGGCCTGTGGTTATAAGGTATACCCCATGCTGAAGGAGTCCTTGTCTTTGCCTCCTTCCTATACCAGCTAGGTAGGAAACAGAATACTGAGTTTCTATTTGGTCTTCCCAGACTTCAAGTCCTGTCTGAGAGGGTTAGCTTAGTGCTTTAAATGGAGCATGCTTTTTGAGGGTGGGAAAGGCCCGTGCAATAGAGTTATCTTAGTGGTTCTGAGATTCTTGTCTCTCCTGTTTGTTCTTCTCCCTCTCTGAGGCCTGGGCTCACCAAGTCCCTTGTAGAGTGTGTTTTGTGATGCTCAGAAGGAGAGACCTGGGGATGGAGCATAGCAGGTAAAGAACAGTTGGAAGGAGGGTGTGGGACAGTCAGCTAAGTGACTCAGGAGGTGGAAAGATGGCTGAACGTTTGTCCTGAAGCTTGTTGTCTTCCTTCCTTGTTGATGAATATGTCGGCAAAAGCCAATTATTTTTTTTCTCGGAATATTATCTATTTGGGAAAATGCCGAGAGGTGTCAGGTTTTTCAGCTCTAAGAAAGACGAGACATGGCCTTGAGGATACACTTTTGCTGTAATTGCAGAGCCGTCTTACTGCAAGCTCCGTGGGCCAGATCGTGGGACTCTGCTCTGCTGAGATCAAGCAGATAGTGTCTGAATATGCTGAGAAGGTAGGTGCTGCCCTGTCCCCATCTTGCCGGTGTCTATGCCTCCAGGACTGTCCCAAGGCTTTGTCCTCCCTTTCCCCCCACCAGCAAAGATGGGGCCTGCTTGTAATTCTTCAGCCAAGTTTGACAAAAACATACACACACACCAGCCTCTATGAGGCACAGCCATTAGCTAAATTAATTTTATTCTGCAGTACCCATTTTTTATAAATATAAAGAAAAAACCTGTCCCTCAGAGCAGTCATCACATCTGACACGTAGATGCCTGAGGTATGGCACAGGCCTTTTCCTTTCCTATCAGGCTTATTATTTAGGCTGAGTATGGCCTTTGGAGTGAAGCTTCACCACTTAGGAGATAAACCTCATAACTCTGCCAAGCCCAAGGCAAAATTTTTTGTTCTACTTTATTAAAAGGACATAGACTGAACAAAAGCCTTAAAGTCATATTTCAGTGTTAGATTTTTTTTCATTCTAAGAATAGGTAGGGGGACCTTGAATATTTCAGAGAGGCAGTGATTAATCATTTTGCACATAAGTGATTCCAGTCTGGATGAGATGTAGTATCGCTAAAACAGATTTACAGGGCATTGTTTCACATTCCTCCTTCCACAGCCATACTCAGTCTGCCCCTTTAAAATGTTGATGTCTGTTGAAGCATCCAGCTTTGCTGTCCTCATCTCAGCAGCCTTGATGACAGATGAGCTGTACCTGAGCCTCTCTAAAGTGTTCATCTGGAGTGATTGTGTAGATGATGCAGTCAGGGCAGGGATATCACCTCTAACCTGGGGCATATGGTCTGCCATAAACACAGCAGCAGTCATCTCCCACCCGGTGAGGGGCCTCTTCTGAGTAAGACAGTAAGGAAAAGGTCTCAGAATGTCTGGGGTAGAATTCCCTTGTGGCCCCTCTTCTCCAAGTAAGTGCTTCTTAACTGGACTCTCTAACCCACTCACAGAATCCAGAGTATCCTCTCTTCTTTCCATTTATCACCTTGGGACATTGACACTGGTCAACATGATTTGATCAGAAAAGGATTTAGGTTATCCTAGTACAAATAAATTCAAAAAGCTTGAAGTAGGTCAAGCCTATAGTGCTGTATAGAGGGAGCCAGATCCCACCCTGGCAGCTTGGAAAACATACCAGGCACATGTGTGTGCCTGCCCAAAATTTTGGTGGGTTGGAGAAATGGGGAGAATGGTATGATAGCATTGCCACACCCTCTTGCAGAGGGTTATCTAATTCTTTTGCATGTGTGCGTGCACTCGCTCTATGTCTCTCCCTCCCTGTCTCCCTCCCTCTCTCCTTCCCTCCCTCTCTCATGAGTGCATGCATCCTCTGGCAGTTGAGAAAAACTTGAAGACATAGTTGTGGAGGGAATGATTAATTTACTTCCTGGAGAAGAAAAGGTCTTGGCCTGCAGTTAGCACTCACACCTGAATGGCAAGAATAAGTCTATACCCTCCCTTAGGTTGCCACATTGTGTTGCTGAATCCAGTTTTGTTTTTTTAAAGATACCTGGAGAGGGCAGCCACTGCTGTTCTACAGACTCTGATTTTTTGTCTTCCGTCTGAACTCCCACTGTAAGCAGTTAGAAGCTCAGATTATTAAACAGATAGTTCAGATTAAAAGGACAAGTGAGGCAGACCTTTTAATTGGAAGAACACCTCTCTCTCTCTCAGCCCTCTCCTTTTCTAGGAGTCCTGAAGCTCACCTGCCTTCATTAGTCAGCTCTGCATTTTCTGTGTCTCCTTCTGGGTTTCTTCATCTCTCATCTTCTAAGCTGCTCCTTCTCATCCTTGCACAGTAATCTCTGCAAGTTTAATGGCTATATTCTGGTATTTATTCTGGGCTGTTCTCTACCTCTGTTCCATTCTTGTAGAAAAGAGTGAAATTAGAAGTAATCTGGACAGGAAGCACTGCCTCCTCTCCTTCCAAGAACATATACAGTTAATCTCACCGAGAATTACAGGAGATTGGGAGCTCTTGTCAAGTAGAGTAGATCATTAGCATTAGATATATTTTTAAATTAAGTTGCCTTTCATTCTATTCTGACATCGAAATTATTTCACATTTGTGTTATTATCTTGCAGTGCCTTTCCCCAGATCGCCATAGTTATGCATATTTGCAATATAGTATGTCTAAAAGAGTAGGACAGTGTGGTGGTTAAAAGCAAAACATTTGGAGTAATGTTTTGGTTCATATCTGTTTCCTCTGCTTCCCAGCCATGTAACCGTGGCCAATTATTTAACTTCTTTTTGCCCTAGTGTCTTCATCTATAAAACGGAAATAATATTACTTTCTTGGCAGGGTGTTATGAAGATTAAATGAGATGTGACCAAAATGCCTTAAACAGTACCTGGTACATTATAGCTCTTCAGCTAATGTAGCCTTTATTTGCATTTTTATAGTCTGAATTTCTGTTGTTGTTCTGCTTCACATCTTAAACATTTTTCATATTTCTAGCCTTTATATTTATTTTAATAACTATATAATCTGTGTGTTAATACAGCATAATTTATTAAACATTTCCCTACTGATAGATTTTTAAATTGTTTCTGTTTGCCATAACTGGTAATACTGTTGTGGAGTCTGAGCACACGGTTTCTGTTGAAAGGTTTCCTAGGATTTGGATGATTGGCTTATGTCTCCTTTCCCATGTTGCTTTACAAGTAAGTTGCAACAATCTAAAATACTGTGAGTGAAGGGCTTCCCAGAATGGTCCCAACGTTTCCAGCATTGATTCATTTGTGTTACATGCTACTATTGGAGCTAGAGAATAGCACCTTTTTGGACCACTGAGAGGATAGAAAATGGCCCCATGTTCTTGTTTTTACTCTATTTTCTTCTGTGAATTGCTTGTTAAAGACTTTACTCACTTACCTTTCAGAAACATATTAATTTCCTTCTAAATTTAAATGTAATCTATATTCTAGATTTAAATATTTTGTCATTGTGATACAAATATTTCTTGGGTATTTCATTTTATTTTCATGTTTGTTTTTCATCATTAGCCAGGAATTGTATCTAAATTGGTTAGTCTTTTCCTTTAGCATTGTTTCCAGATAGAAGTTCACAGCTTTTCCATGGATCTAATAAAGTAGTCCATTACATTCAGCTAACCTTTCATTAAGTATGTTTAATTCTTTAGCTTATGCGGGAGTTTATTTTTATGTAATCTAGCATTGATCTGTTATAATTTTCTTAACTCCTGTCCACTTAACATTTTTATCAAATAATTTCTTTATGTTCATATTGAGGCATTTAACTTTATTTTTTAAAAACATTAATTAATTAATTAATCTATTTATTGTGATTTTTTTTTTTAAGCCACTGGGTCAGCCTTGTGGGAATCTAGCTCCTTAACCACCGCATCTCCTGCTGGCCCTGACATTCAACTTTATTTTTGTGTTTTATTTAATTTAAACTGTATATGGGCTTTTGTTTCATTGTTTTATACTTCTGTGTTTATTCAGATTCCATGATAAAGTTCTCTGGTGCTTTTGTTCTTATTGGTTTGACTTTTTTGTTTGTTACTATTTGGTCAGTACCCTCCATCCAGCCAAAGACCTAGTGTCATTCAACTAGGAACACACCTGTGGATTGAGTATGTTGGGTTTATTGCAGGATGCAGTGAGAGAGAACACATACCAATGGAATTATGGAGCAGCTCAGGAAAAGAGCATTAGAAAGGACTTAGTATGGGATTTGGGTTGTGTTAGGCAGTTTTAGAACCAATTCAAGGAAGTGAGGTTTTGCTCTGTGTTGGATGCTATGAGAAGGGATGAGTCTAAGGGTATCTCACTAAATCTTATCTGTAAGACACGTGGGGTAGGCATTGCATTGAGATTAGAGCTGTGTATGCAAAACAGCCAGAATAAGTGGTGTTCAAGCATTTTTTTGTGACTTGGGCAATGTTTGTGTTTTTGTCCGTGCTCAGACCTGAGTGGAATGTTTTTTTATTTGATTCTTGTTCACAGTCACAGTGGCCTTATTTGGAGTTGATGTTCTTTGAGGTTGTTGACAGGCCTGGTTATAAGTGCAGGCTAGCGTCCAGCAACATCAAGGCATTGCTGATAGGTTAGTTTTCAAGTGTTGGGGGCTGTTTTACTCTTTCTTGGATTGATTGTGTAGTTACCTATTGCCACAAATGTAAAACTGTACAATTATTCTATTACAGTTTCTGTGCATCAGCAGTTAGGCACAGTTTGACAGGGTCCTCTGTTTCAGACTCTTACAAACCTGCAGTCTAGGAACTGGGTAGAACTCAGTCTCATCTGAGGCTTTACTGGGGAAGGATCCACTGTGTAGTTGTTGGCAGCATTCAGTTCCTTGCAGCCTGTTGACTGAGCTCAAGAGTTCTTCCTGGCTGTTACTGGAGCCTTCCCTCAGTCCCTGCCATGTGGACCTCCCCACTTACTTCATTGAGTAAGCTTCTCCTCCTCATCCTCGTACAGTAATCTCTACAAGCAAGAGGAGAGCATCTTCTTGTAGGACAGACATTGTGGTTTGTTTTGTTTGTTTCTTTTTTATAATATAATTATGTACATGTAATCACATACATCCTATCACCTTTGTTGTTTTCTCTTGGTTAGAAGGAAGTCACAGGTATCACCCACATTCAAGGGGGAAGGATGACATGGGCAAGCGTATACAACTGGAGGTAGGGATTGTGGGCCGTCGAAGGACTGTCCACCACAGTTGGCATATTCATGTTTTTATTTTACTGCTATTAATTGGGCTGAAACTGGGTACTGGAAATTCATGTAAAATTAGTGTCACTACCTTCAGGGTCTCTGTAGTAAAACCTTGGAAGTAGAGATGGGATGGAGGAGTGCCTAGGAGGAATGGTGTTGGTGGTACTTGAGACAAATACTAGTTAGGCTGAGATCAGGATGTGTTTTTGCTTAGTAAAGAAAAGGGACAAGACAATTTTTGTAAGATAAAGTGTGAAAATGATTTGGTGACCAAGGAATAAATCGAACAGCCTGCCTGGGGCAAGTTG